ACATATGAGTCCACCCTTTCTTCCAACTGTTCGATGAAAACCAGCGTATCCGAGGGTCCGTCGAACTTCAGGCCCCAATTGCGTAGTTTATCGGCCAGGGCAGCGAAGGAGATTTCTTCCCTTCCGGGTCGCGATGTTCCGGTGCGATGCTGGTGGTGATTGCCACCATGTCGCCGGTCAGTTGTGGTTTCAAGCCGGCCAGAGTCGTCGTGAGCTGCTCGGGAACTCGGGAATTATGATGGATAGGGGCTGTTCCGCACAGATCCGTTCCTTTTGCTCTCGCTGACTCGGTCCCGGCGACGGGGACGTGTTCCTCGGATTTCTCGGGCTGGGCGCGCTGTCGAAGACCATTCCGTGCTCTTTGATCCGTTTTTCGATCGCAGTCGGATGCTCACCGCGCGAGATGAAGGCCGAGATCCTGCTGCTCAATTCGTCCACTGTCCCGGTTTCACCGAGGCCGAATTCCGCGGCGATGGCTTGCAGTTCGTCCTTACGCCGACACGAAATCCACTGTACACCCATGTCGACGCACGGTGGTAGAACTGGCACTTAGACGTCTCTCGCGTTTCCGGCGGTAATATCACGTATTGACCTTCCAGTAGAGTCTTTACTGATGTAACGCACTGGATACCAGAGTCCTAGAGGTTAGTCACGGCGGCACGGCGTATGCACGGTTAACACGGTTGCCTCAGTGGAGGGTGCATCCTGCTGTTGCGTCCTTGGAGTCCTTGCTGCTTGGGGTCCTGGTCGATGGTCGTGGATGTCGTTGGTCTTTATAGTAGCCTTGGGATCGACCTTTGCTAGGCCGGTAAATGGTCCTTGCTATAGTTGTCCTTGTAGTCGTCCTGACTGTTGATCCTTACTAGGCCGGTCAATAGTCCTTGCTATCGTTGTCCTTGGAATTGTCCTTGCGGTCCTGGTCGTTTTGGGTTCGTTGACTTAAGCGCGGAATCTCGTCTCGTGTTGATGGCTGAACGCTGACCGATCACTTTGAAGGCCGGGCATTTACTGACTGCTATCGTTTTGAAGGCCGGGCGTTGACTGACTGCTATCGTTTTGAAGGCCGTGCGTTGACTGCTTGCGCTGAAGGCCGGGCATTGAATGACTGCTCTGAAGATCGGGCGTTGACCGATCGCGCTGAGGGCCGGGCATTGAATGATCGCGCTGAAAACCGGGCATTTACTGATTGCTATCGTTTTGCAGGCCGGGCATTGAATGATCGCGCTGAAGACCGGGCATTGAAGGACTGCTCTGAAGACCGGGCGTTGACTGCTCGCGCTGAGGGCCGGGCATTGAATTGTTCCTTCTGGTTCTGAGTCCGAAATATATAGCCGGGACAGTCGGTCTTCGGGAGGTTTCCGATGCTCGCTCGGCTTCTGCAGCTCACGACTCGCTGCTCGCCGCGTATCGTTCTCTTTCTCAGTCGTCTCGCTGCGGTGTTCTCTACTTGTGTGGGCGCGGCGGCCACGTGTTGACGCTATGGCTACGTAGGTTAGGGAAGCCAGCCTCGGCTGTACATGAATAATGGGCGGCCTCACGGTCGGTTTTACAGACACAGCTATTCCTATGCCTTAATGATGTTGACCGGCCGCGCTTGCGCGTGGTACAGTCCCGACGCCCTCTTCTATTCGCTTTTCTGATCAACTGTTCCCCTTAGCACCCCAAAACGTAACGGAACCCCGGAGTTCCTGTTCGGGCGCCATCTGTAATTTTATTTCTTTTGACAAACATTAAGTCTAACTTTGCGAAATGGTGACCAAAATAGGGATATATATTTGGTTAAACCTTTGAGAGTCTATAATCCACGCTTTTGACTTTTTTGGAAGTGGGTTTCAGTTCAGTTCAATTCAATTTGGGGTTTCTCGGTCCGACCCAGGAGACGACGTTGACGCTGCTTCAGACGCCGCTGGGATATCTGTCCCGTACGGCCTTTGTTGGCTTCTGCTGCTAGAGGCTTCTTCGGTATTGTCGCTGGGATCTTTTTCGGTTCTAGTGTCGTGTCATCCAGCAGTTTGTATTGTACACCGCAATTATCATGACTGCTTACTGTTGTTTCCAGCTCCGATACAGCGGATCCGTAGAAGCTGCTGTCGTTGGCGGTGTGGTAAGAGCCAAAATCGTTGAAGCTTGTTTTAGTGGTCGAGAGACTGCTGGTGGTAGTTTTCTTGGCTAGGCGTGTCTTGCGGGGCCGAAAGTATTCGGGATCCGTGATCAAGGGCATCCTACGATGGCCGTTGCAAAGCACTTGAATTGGACCCTTGGGCTCGGTCTCTTCCTTGAGCGGAAGCGGTTTCATCGATTCCACACCCATGGACATCAGGCCAAAGTGGCGCATCATGGCAAAGGCCTCCCGCTCCACGGTGCTTGTGTCGTTCCAGTCTTCCATGGTGGCGTGCTCTCCCAACGGCTTGGTACCGGCGATCTGTTGGATACGCTCCATCATGGCCAGGCAGTCCTGGATTCCCTTGGTCTTGGAGCTCGCCGGCCCGTGCAGCTTATCAATCACGGCGTTTCGCTTGTTGCGATCCGCTAAGAAGTCGTACGTGTCGCTGGGACGTGGAGTGTACTCCGCCTCGCGCTTCTTCTCATAGGCCATCTGGCCCAGCACAAAATTACAACCCGGCTGTGAATCGAGAAGATCGTCCTCGAAACGTGTAGACGGTTTCCAAGCCATTTTGTATCAAAACTAACTGATTTACAGATGTAAGATTTACAGTTAGGCTGAGCCAACAGAAAGTGCGTAGCTTACTTGTAGCGTTCTAGCCCCCCGACTAAACTGGCAATCAATCGTACAACTTAATTTTAAAAATAACAAAAACTAGGGGAGGGGTATTTTAAAACAAAAAACGCAACTTAAACTGCGTTTTAAAAAAGAGTTGCCGCGAGGAAAGAGAGGAAGCGATCTTGGCTGGGGTACATATCTCAATGTACTCGAGGGTCGAAATTACAGCAATATTTATAATTTGCCGGGATTCCGAATTTCGGTCCGACGATGGGGACGGGGCGACAGTCCCGCGGACGGAAGCGATCGTAGTGTGGGACGTGGCAGTCGGTTTCACCGAGAACGCTCAGGCTATCGCCGGATAGCGCCTTCAGGACCCTATCGAACTCAGAATTAATACGAAGGTCTTTGCTATACGATAATACCGACAGGTATAGCCGAGAGTACCTAGGCTATCGCCGGACAGTACTTACGGGACCCCGCCGGCCTAAGAGTTACTACGAAGCGGAAGGGGGCTTTGCTATGCGGAAATACCGACAAGTATCGCCGAGAGTACCTGGGCTATCGCCGGACCGTACTTACGAGACCCTGTCGGCCTAAGAATTACTACGAAGCGGAAGGGGACTTTGCTATGCGGAGATGCCGACAAGTATCGCCGAGAGTTCCTAGGCTAACGCCGGACAGAACTTACGGGACCCTGTCTGCCTAAGTATTACTACGAAGCGGAGGGGGCTTTGCTAGGCGGAGATACCGACAAGTATCGCCGAGAGTACCTAGGCTATCGCCGGACGGTACTTACGGGACCCTGTCGGCCTAAGAATTACTACGACGCGGAAAGGGGGCTTTACTATGCGGAAATACCGACAGGTATCACCGAGAGTGTCTAGGCTATCGCCGGATAGCGCTCTCGGGACCCGGCCGGACTAAGAACTACTACCACGCGGAAAGGGGGCTTTACTATGCGGAAATACCGACAGGTATCACCGAGAGTGCCTAGGCTATCGCCGGATAGCGCTCTCGGGACCCAACCGGACTAAGAACTACTACGAAGCGGAAGAGGGCCGACAGGTATCGCCGAGAGTACCTAGGCAATCGCCGGACAGTACTTCCGGGACCCTGCCGGTCTACTGGGATCATACAGTGCTCCAACAGATTTCGCCGAGAGCGCCTAGGCAATCGCCGGACAGCAGCCTCGGGATCCTGCTGGGCCACAAACTACGGGAGGGGGATCACGCGGGAACGCCAACAAGTATCCCCAAGGACGCCTAGGCAGTCACCGGACAGCGGCCTGGGATATTGTTGGGTAACGAACTACTGGAGGGAATCATACGAAGGGGGGGCAACAGGTGTCGCCGAGAACGCCTAGGCTATCGCCGGACAACGGCCTCGGGATCCTGCTGGGCCACAAACTACGGGAGGGGATCATGCGGGAGTGCCGACAGGGGTCACCGAGAGCGCATATAGGGATGCCAGTCAATAGAAGGACAATAGATTAAAGCAATATTTCTGTTCGACTTTTGTTTCTAGATTAGGTTTCGTACTTTTAACAAAAAAACTTCGTAGTGACTTTTTTTGATAATCAATATTTATTTATTTGTATGGACCCACCAGAAAATACAATATATTCAACAACCATTACTTAACTAAACAACATAGTTAATCAATAGTTAAGCAATCGGATATGCGTTCAAATCAAAATAATAGAGTACATTCCGATTGATATAAATATTCTTAAGTTTTAGGCAGACAAAGGAAAATATTTTTAAATCATTTGTATTCGATTAAATCAATACTTTGGTAAATGGGAGTCAATCCAATGTTGCACAATGAATATATGCAAAATGATTCAAAAATATTGCTCTATTTTTATACAAGCTTTAAACATTTATAAATATATATGTATGTATGAGTATGTGCTAATTGAAGAAATCACAATATCTCTTGGAAGAATGCATAATAATTTTAGTGATATATGTATGTATGTGTCTGTTGCCAATTAGAATTTAGCTTAACGTATTCGTTGTCCACATGTGTATGTAAATTTTAAATGGTCCCAAAAAGTATTTCCCCAGTTGTTCTATCTCATTATATTTGTGTTTGCTATTTTATTTAAGTTTTATTATTGCATCCTTTCATATCAACGTCATATCTACTACGTCTAGAACCAATTTCTTATATTTGGATGTATAATATCCAGATATTATTAAAAGTAGATAGCTTTAACAATCTTAGCAAGCAATTATTCAATCATAAAGTATAAAAACATTTTGTTCATATTTGCAACCCGTTAGAAATAATTACAAATATAACACAAAACCAATGGCTAATGCCAATATAACATTATCCATAAAAGCTATGTATATTTCATTGCAACTGTGTTGCTATTTGTATGCCAAATTAATAAAGAAAACAGATTTAAAAAAAATAATAATTTTATCTGCATTAAATCTAAATCAAATTAAATCTAAGTATCTTCACTAATTTTACTTGTAGAATGTTCCGTTAAAGATGGAAGTAAAGATTCCGTGGATGGTTGCCTGCGAAAAAATTATGCATTTAAATTGAACATTCTTTTTCCATGCTTGGGAGGACGTACTTAAACCTGTCTACTGACATTTGGTAGGAGCCTGGTGCTGAGTTTGATCGTCCAGCGCGTACGAATCTTTCTAATCGAGAACCGCCTGGTTGTAATGCCTTGCCAGATACACCTTTTATAAATGGATTTCCAAAAGAATGTTTTTTTAACATTGTTTTTATTAATATAAGAGTGTCCAACTTTGGAATGCTGCGGACAACGGAATTTATATCTTCTTCATCAACTTGTACTAGACAGCAGTTTTCTTCTTCAGTGGGCAATGGGTAAACACCGCTTGTGGTGACCCAATCGTTTATCTAAAAATATATAAAACAACATACTTTCATGATACATGATAGAAATATATTTTTATAAAAACCTTTAGCTCTGGCACTGTTATTCTCTGAGTAGCATTTTTTTCTAGCATGTGCAAAATGCATCTTTTTAAATTTTCACTGACTGTTAATTTTTGTGGGAACACTACCGGGTCTTGTTGTATTCTTTCATAGAGCAAGGGAATGGAATCTGCTAAGAACGGCACATTGCCAAAAATTAAGGAATACAGCGTCGCACCCAATGCCCAGACATCTGATGCTCTCCCACAATACACGTTCTGGTAAAAAATATTAAAAATAAAAGTTTATTATACATAACATATTCAAACATTTTTGATATAACCAATAGTGCATACCTGTCCTAATATCAAGGTTTCGGGAGCCCTGAAGGCAGGAGTTCCACCGGTAGAGCCATTGGACATTATAGCATCTTCTCCAAGAAATTCATTGCAGACACCAAGATCTGCTATTTTTATGTGTCCACACTCCGTTAACAACAAATTTCCAGGCTTTATGTCCGCATGGATAATTTTTTGATAGTGTACTGTAATGAAAACAATAAAATACTACATTCGTTTTATGTGCATGTATGTGTAAATTACAACTCAAATGAACCATCTTTAAGTCTTATTCATGATTGTAGTTTTATTTTCGTAATTAGGCGCAGAAGCGCCTAAGATTTTAGCTGAGTATCGAATTGCGATAATTGATGTGGTCTGGTCAAACGTCAAAAACCTTTTTTTCCAAGACGTTAAGAATAACTTTTCGTAATACATGAAAGCCCACACTTACAATATTCCAATCCGAGTAGTGTTTCCCGAAAAATACTCCATACGCGTTCTTCTGACAATGGATTGTCCGTTGGAATTCTAAGAACTTCGCCTTGTTTTACCCATTCGAAAACCATATATAAGGAGTCCTCGATGGGGTCATCTAATACTTCCACTAGCTTGACAACGTTGGGATGATCAAGCTTCTTTAAAACAGCGATTTCTCTGTAAACACGATCCAGCGGAGAAGTTGTTTTCTTAGGACCTCGGCGCATTAAGCCAGCTTGTCGTAAAAGTCGCTTCTTTGAAAGAATTTTCATTGCATAATGGGTGGAATCTTCTTCAGAATATGCCAATTTTACGAGACCATATGAGCCCTACAATTAAAAAATGGAATTAATTGTTAGCACAACCCTTGCAAACCGATCGTTTTCATGTCAGCTATTTATATGACATGGCAGGGATATGTCAAGTTTGCACAGTAACAACGAGATAGACGGATAGATATATACAATATCTATGTATGCTCTTTTGGGGGCTTTCTTTTTTGTTATTATTATTTATCTTTTCTAAACATTTACAAGTTGTTCAATAAAACTACATATGGGAGGTAAAAAAAATTGATTACCTGCCCAATTTGGTCCATTAGTTTGTATTGGTTTAATTGTAGAAAGCTTCCAGATCTTTCTATTGATATTCTCCGTGATTCGCGTAGAGGAGGTCGCCGTCGATTCGATCGAGGACTGCCAAATGGACTGCCATACGGACTATATGGAACATTCGGATAGATAGGACGAGTTTCCATTGATTGAAGGTTTAAAGGAATATGAGGCCGCTGAGCTAAACATGTAGCTTCACAAGTAGACTTATCGAGTTCTTCGCCATTCAAATCTAACAGATGGTCGATACTCTTTGTTAGCTGAGATACAGAGTCGGAAGCTTGCGCTGTTTGGTTTTGATTATCATTGGAATAGTTTTCATTAATGTTTGGTAACAGACGAGATTGTGTTATTTGGAAGCTATTTGGCTCATTGTATATTTCCAACGACTGTGATTTCAGAAAAATTGGTCGTGAATATACGCATTTTAATTGTGGATATTCGGATTCTGGCTTGTTTTGGGGACCGTCAATATCGCTTTGACGAAGATCACAGCAATCTTTTGATTGGACTACATTATGAAATCTCTTGCTACCTTCTAAGAACTTGCCTATCTGCACCCGCTTACTATTAGTTGCTGAAATATCTTCAGTTGGTAAAGTTTGAATTATTTTATCATCTACAATATTTCGGGTTTTTGGCTTAGCACCACTTGGGTCCGGACATATTGTCTCACTCATGGAATGCCGTCCATTTGATTGCTTAGATTCAATGCTAATTTGTTGTAATGTTTTGTGTGGTGTGCGCTGCTTTTCCATTTTTTGAAGTCTTGTGTATTCACAACCATTCTGTGCTTTATCCACAATAACGTAGTCATCGTCGTCCTCGGAAAAAGTCTGAACTTCTCGTCCATTTTCATTGCCCGTCGTCCCGGCAAAAGCAGTAACATGTTCCTTTTCTGGGCTCCTTAAATTCCCAGCTGTTATTGTTGATTGTTGTGCAGCGTCCATTTTTTAAAATCAAACTTCAGAAGCTGACGGTCTGTCTAGTATCTATCCATTACATCATTACTTAAGTCATCACATTTGTTTGGTATTTAATGATTTAATATCATATTTTTTGAGCCTGAACTGAAAGAGCTGAGAAATGAAAGCATTCAAATGTATTCTAGCATAATTTGTATTATTAAATTAAACATACTGGAAACCCGAATTCAGTTCCCTTGCAGGTCGATCGTACCTACATATGCTTAATACATACATATAGTACCATAGTGACCTGATTTGTATTATTTTTGGCTTATTCATTTAATTTGTTCAAAGTTTTCAGGAGCGCCTTCAGTTTGCTGTTGATGACGATCTCCTGAAAACTTTTAACAACTTTGTATATATATAGTATTGTATTGTATATTTGTATAAGTATATCTTATAAACACAAAATACAACATAATCTGCAACAGTGCTCAACGATGACCAGGTATAGCAAAATTCGACTTGGCTGTTGGCTTTTTCGACCGCGCACAGTATTTTTATTTTTAGCACTAGTTTCAATCATATATACCATATTTACATTAATTACATACAAATTGTGTATTGAGATCAACAAAAGTGTTATATGTTGGAGCTTAGATGTTAACAGACAACAGCTGAGACCGAATAACGAATATTTTGTTTTTGGAATGTTGAAATCGCTGGAAAGTTCGTTTACATCTTTTAATTTATTTGTGCTATTTTTAACATTTTTTTCAAACGAGAAAAAATGCCTTAGTCGAGGGTTCCGACTACAAAATACCCGCTTCTCAACGGCATAAATAATCCCAACAACGCGGTCACAATTATATAATAGAATTTGTCTTATGGTATATTTGGAATTTTTTTTTCTTTCGATCACGTCGCTATATAAAAGTTGTTTATTATTGATACTGATCCAGAAGGTAGGAAACGGTAGTTTGTTTTGGGTTGATGCGTTCATTAGCATGAACTCAATATACCCTGTTTCTCTACGAGAAACGGGTATATAAAAAGCTTATAGCATCTGCGATTTTTCAATCAGCGCTCTTTGCGTACGTTTAGTGTTTCTCGCGCATTGTCTTTACTAAAACGATTTGTATTAGATTGGTACAATGACTTTGTTTTTTTCAAAGGCGATCGTCTATAGCTGGTTTTTGTGGTTCGTTCAGTGTCAGAACGTAAATGGTATCCGTCAGTATCACCTGTCAGAAATTAGCTATACGCCACAGACTCGTACTATTCGAGGAGAACAAGTACCATTGGAATTTTATGAAGCCATCGAAAGATCGGATAAGAAAAAGAATGAGCTGCAACATCGACTGCACCACTTTTTGGAAAATCTACAAAAGAATCTTACCACGTCCACAGTATTTAGAGACTTTAAGCCTACAGCATCGAGCTCTGAAAACTATGCCACTAAGATGAGTGAACTTTCAACATTTTTTCATGATGCTTCCTTCGCTGCTGGACTATTTGCCCATGAGAACGAAAGGTTCTACGATGTAATTAAAAACTCAAGCTATGCGCTGTTGTTGAAATTACGACAAGTCCCTGCAGCACAGCCCACACAGGTAAAGACTGTGCTAACAAACTATTTTTCGGAAATGGAGTTCTTTCATATTATGTTTTCCGAAATTGTGGACGAAGCACTGGAGTATACTGTGGGAACATTGCGTGCTGTTCAACGAATATTCCTCCAATTCGCTGATGTTCAGAGTGGCATACTACAAGACTGGAAACTGAAGCTTGACTTTGAGTGCTGTAAAATGTACATGGATTTCTTACAATACCATTCTGCGCAGGTATTTAAATGTGCTGCAGGCCGTGAACTGAACGTTGCCTATGACGTGTACGCTATGACAAAGATAAATGCCAAATATATAATGAGGCAGCTTGAGTTCCGAATTCAAAGACTTTTCAACTGTTTTATATTCAAAAAGTACGAAATACGATGTCAATTTCTCCAAAACGCCGAGAGAGATTTCGAAAGCCTCTTCAATAAGCTCGAAGAACTAGAAATGTATTTGGATATAAAAACCAAGCAAGGTCGAGCTTCGGATTTAAGATTCCACCGACAAAGCTATATCCAGCATGACGATGTCACAACAAAATCGACTGAGCCTCTCAGTGACTGCCTACCACCAAATTTTCCCTTCAGTCAAATAAAATCGGAATTAAGATCCTGCTTTTATTTATTTGGTGGAAAATGACTCACTGGTTTTCAAAATACAACATTTGCCATAATACGTAACTTCTCTCGATGTATAAATTGTGGAGATAGTCACTCAATCTGGATGACTTCATTATCGTTTAAATCATTCTAAAATAAGTTTGAGGTTTAAACTTTGCATAAAGTGTTGTTCGATTTCGTTTTGGTGTACAAATTTGAATAAATAAATATTTTTCTATTATACAGATGCACAAATGTAAGAATTGATGTTTGAACTTTCATTAGAAACGTTATGTGGGTGCAAACAAATGAGATCAAATGGGTTCAACGAAATCAGACTCACAGTAAAAGTCCATTTGCTTTCGTTTGACAGAACTGTGACACAAATTCTGTGTCGTCCACTATAATGAAGATACAAGACAAGCGAATAGTCAGAATCATAAAGGGTACTACGCCCAATCAAGCACACGAGCTACCGATAACGGTTCTGCAGCACCCCCACCGAAATCCCTTCGGAAATTGGCAATGTTTCACTGAACGACTGTGTCGTTCAACCCGGACACTACTTCGTCCATCACGACACTTTGACTGTCGATTACATAGTCCACCGGTCAAAGGTTACTGGTCAGAGCAATTGTAGATAGCAAAAATTTAGGGGAATTCCCTTTTTGTGAAAATTTAAGGGGATTATTTTTTTGCAATATAAATTTGTTAGTGTTTTGTGAACTATCAATGCAATCTGACGTGCTTGGTAAAGACATTTTTTATACGCTAATTTTTTTTTCCAACGTTTCCTAATTTTTCTTGTAATTTTAATAGGTTTTAGAGAGATTTTTTACAGGTTTTTTTTTTAGGAACCCATCTACCGTGTAAAAACAGAATTAGGTTTACTTTATGGGGTCGGAAACGCTTCCTTCTGTTTCCATTTTCACCAAAATTCTAATGTACCCCTGTACTCATTTTGTGTATCGAGTATAATCACACCTTGAAAAAAAAAAATAAATTAAAAATAAAATTAAATAAACAATTTTAAAGGCCCCCAAAACTTCACTTTGTTTTGAAGCGTAAATATGGTGATGTAGAGTGTTATTATAAGTTGCGATGAAATAGCGAACGTGAGACGTGAGTGGCAGCCCTACCGTGACGAAGACCAGAAGTAAGTCAGGAGACTAAAATCGAATTGGGTTCTCTCTCTAACCAAATTTGGGAAATATCAATATTTATGTTAGATTTTTGGCTATAGTAAACAATTTTAAGTAGTTTTAATGAATTTGTTTAGATTGATAACACTATCAGCTATGCCAAAAAGGGCAATACTCTACAATAATCTACATACATGCACATGAGAATATATACTATGTACATATATATAAGTACATACTCGTACATAATTAAATAATCCATAGCTATACATGCGGTTGTTGCTTTTTCAGAATATAGTACATATACATACATTGCCGATCAATAGAATAGACTCAATGAATTTTCTATAAGAAATTTCATTTAAAAAATCAAGATACGAATGAGTCAAGTCAAGGTATCTTTAATCAACAAATTTGAGTTCTAAGTTTTTTTTTAATATTTTGTTTTGTTTTTGAACATAAAAACAGTTGACATTTTTATCGATCAATGCTTATAATTATTATAAACGACAAAGTTTTTCAGAATCTTCATATTAAATTGGTTTTTTGTGATTTTTAAAGTTTGTTAAATAATGAATGTAGAAATTAGAAATGACTTCATAAATTCGATTTGGCATTGAATCATACAGGGACTTCAGATAGTACAGGGATATGTCCCTTCAGATCTTCAAATTGTGTTCCGGATTCATACACTTTACGCGAAAGCCATCACCATACGTTCTCTTTATTATTTAGATCTGGAGAGTAAGGTGGCCTCCATTAATGCAACATTTTGGACTTCAATCCACTTCTTTACCACTCTAGCAGTATGAATTTGGGCATTGTCTTGCTAAAAAATACAATGTAATGTCGCAAAGATGTTGGAAAAGTAGTGAAATGACATTTGGAGTAGCTCTTTGTGGCGAATGGCTTTCAAATTATACGAAAAAAACTGGATTTCAAATGTACCATAATAAGAGATGGTACCCCACACCATTTTACTCCCCTTACGACTATGGTGACGGGCCAAATTATGTCCTTTCTTTCTTAAATCAAGAAAAGTAGTCATTAAACCCATGTGGTCCATCCAAATTAAAGCGTTTTTCATAAAATTAAAGCGTTTTGGTACCATTCGCTTTTCCATTTCATATGATCCCGAGCTAAAAAAGAGCGAGCTTTTTTCGAACGTCAGTAAATGGTGCTTTTTTTTGTGTTTTAATCTGTTTAGATGTTTTCGTATTCGTTACGAGTGATAGGTTGTGTGATACAGGTGCTATACTAGCTTTAACTTCAAAATTTAATCGATTTTAGCCGCAGAGCACGATTAGTTTGTTGGGAGCTTTCATATTATTTCCATAATTTGATGAATTTCCTAAGAAATGAGACACAAGACTGGCTTTTAAACATTTTTTTTGGCGATCTGCCTGGTTGAAAGGCTGCTGAACACATTTAAGCTTTTTCTTCCGCTGTTAGAACTTTACCACGACCCATTCTATATTGAAATAATAGGAAAGTGCAAGAGGTATTTAAATGCACCTTTTACCGTGTACATCAGTAACAGAAACCGTAGTCTCCGAGTCTATTCGAATGATCGCCTAAAAAGCTAAATTTTCGGCATAGGGTGAAGCAAAATGGAAATAAATCATAACTGTAAAACTTCTTCAG